CTCATGCGCCGGAGCAAACGATTTATACTCAACCAGTTTGTCTGACAGGACCAAACTCATTTCTCTTTTCATATCTACGGAGGACACCTGTTCGAGAAATGGATAAGATTCATTCCATTCCTCACGTGGTCTGTCATTTAACCCACATGATGCATCGAAGTCAACACCGTTGTAGCAAAATGTCCTTTATATAAAAGTGCAGTGAGGCACAAAGCAGAGAAACATGTTCCTAAAGGCGAATATACTTTCTGATTCTGTTTGGCAGTTGAACAACGACATTCTGCCGATCAGAATTTGTGGGCGCGACGACAGTTTGAAAGAGACCAGCTTCGAGCTGCGGGTCCGAATTCGAGAAAAGAAAATCTTTGACTTAACCATGAATTCCCTTGAGCAAGGAATTTACCTCCTGTTGCTTACGTGCAACTAATCGAATCACGGACAGACACTCGTTGACTTGCGAACAATAGGGGCAGCGTGGTTTTACCATATAGTCATACCAGAACAGGCAAGAAACACCGGCATGGCTTTTTATGTAAGCATCTCAGAGGACTGCAATTCGCCTTTACCCACGTGAAAGCTGCCTATTCAATGCAGTAACCAGTAGAAAGTGCTGCTGTGTTGTAAGATAATTCTCTGAATTTAAAAAAAAAAACTTCCCTAACCCTTAAATGTAATCGGATACTGCGATTATGCTGCGTAGGTTAAGAAAGGGATGAGTGTGCTAAGTAGCGTACTTTAACATGTGATATTCGTACTCTTAATTGTTTAATCAAAATATATATTTACGTCACCGTATTGGTATGAGTTCAAGAAGTTGTTTTCTGGTTTACTTGTAGACAGTTTCTTAAGGCCTAGTCAAATAAAACACATAATACAGTGCTCATACGGTACTGCGAAATATGATACCAAATCAGTGAAGAAATTGCCGGGTAGGCGAGAACAAGAAACGAGCCGAGGAAAAAAGTAATTTACACCACAAGTTCTGAATTACAAAAAAAACTTAAATGAAGTCTCCTGTGTGATTATTTGTTTAATCTACTTTCGAAAGAGTGGAATCATGAACCAGAACGTAGGGGTGGGTCAGCATATAATTGACTGTACTTTCGGTTGTCATGCCCAAATGAAAAATACACCCATTCCCACCAATGGTTTTCAAAAATAAAACACGTCTTCCTTATTCAATCTACTGCTGGTTGAAGGATGCTTTATTTCCTGGGATTCTAATCCACCTTCACCAATCGAAATTCTTCAACTTACCTGTCATCGATCTTCTAGTCTTCCCACGAGCCGTTTAGTCTCTTGAAATCCAGCTTAACATTTATCTGGTTCAAAGATGGCCGGTTCTAGCAACCTGCGCTGCCAATTGCAACAGCAACTTTTCACTCTGGCAATGACATGGCAAACAGGTATTTGTAGCTTTACCCATTTTTTCGTCTCCCAATTTCTTCTCGTTATTCCAGACATACTCATATCCATGTTGCATTGCGTAGTCTGTAGTCTGCGGGAAGTTTTCACCCTCAAAGTCCATGTTCCGCATCTCTAGGCTAGTACCGAGATCATGCACTGATGAAAATGGCAATACATCCTGAAAATCTACAGTAATCAGTTTTTCGTTACAGTGGAAAAAGTAAACATCCGTTCTTTATTGTTACGGTTGAAAAAGTATCACAGAAACTAATGCGCTGTTTACTATAAACTGGTAGTCGGTGGTTTTATCACATTACCGGTATCATTGCAAACCGTACGGCACACAGTTAAACCAGAAAACCGCAGTAAAGAGCTCAGATGTAGGGATAAACTTAGCGATAATGTCATAAAATCTGTATGAGTTTCGGTTTTGCTGGATTACACTGAACCGTTAATTTTTCGACTGTTACAAAGTACTAGAGGTGTCGTTGTTGATAAACATATTTGTTAAACTGTCTGTCATATTTTCGAAGTAGTAGTTGTTGTTCTCAAGAACTTTGGGAAAGAACTTAGATACCGCTTTTTGCATTAAAGTTTTCAAATATCAGTTAATTTAGACAGATTTTTATCATAGAACATTTATTTAAATAGTTTAGTTCGGATTCAGAGAGTACACAAACTACCGTTGAATCTGAAGCAAGAACCGGAACGATCGTCTATATGAAAATTGGAAACAAGTGCAATCCTGTTTTATGGATGAGGAGCTCTGCTTTGGCCCCTTGGACATGGCTTTTCTTGGTGCATTCCGTATGCTTAATATATGGCAAGGCTACGAGAGTATCCTTGAGTGATTAGGGTGTAAAGAAAGGCACACGAATCCAAACAAAGTATATTTACTAACAATCTAATTACGTAACAGCGGAAGTCATGCTAAACTGACTGAGCAAGTTCATCTCGTGCCGGAACTTGCAAATGAAGATATCACATTAAAAATACTGATACCGAATTCTTCAACGGCGGTATCGTAAGGTTCACAAAAAACAACGGGGTTATATCTCTATGTCTATCGTTCGAATCGTGGTAATCTTGGTTGAATGTACTATTATTCAACTCCAGCATGTGACGCGGTCCTGTGTCCTACGCACTGCAGGCACTTAAATACCGTGGAACAGTGGCTTGCTTAAATCGTTCCCCTAGGCGTCTAGAAGCAAGGGGGCGGTGCAACTGTTCTGCTGATATAAAGTGAGGAAAAATTTTTTTCTTTATACTGTGCCTCTTTACCGCATCAGTCCGGGATCTATAATTTTAATGCATTCATAATTCGTTCATATTGTCAATCATTGGCTTCCTTTCAAAAAAGTCTGTCGACAGAGAGTAGAAAAGATTATTTGAAAAATCAGTAAATATGACATTTCACCAGTCGGACCAAACATCCAGTTTAAAGTTAACCAGAGATACAAGTGCACTGGAATCTGTAGCGAAACCAACTCAACCCGTAACTGAACTCTAAGGTTAAATGTAGTTGTCTGCACTGAAAACCCTCAGTTCGACGAACGTTTCAGAAGACGGGGGCGACAAGTCAAGGGCAGAGCTGAAAGCATACGACTTCTCCAGTATGAACCAGTATCTTTAGCCGGAATTTAATCAACTGCGAAATTGAAACTGCATCAGAATGCTAGTTTTCCAAAAGCTTATGCCTAAAATCTTACGAATCTGTAAAATATCGATGGCAAACTTCACAAGAAACTTGAACTGCATGTCACGAGGACGAAGCGTGCTCCCAAGCTAGCTGAAAGTAAAGAAATCTGCATGTTTACTTAGCTTGTTTACCTTGCTTCGTCAGCGTTCGAAAGTAAACAGCCAGTCCCACGAAACAGTAAAATAACACAGAAAACCTGGACTCTTT